CATCTTGGCGAGGTTCATGATCTCCACTATAAATATTTAGCTGAGCATCAGTTATATATGAATTATCCATAATGTAGAAACGGTTATCCGATAAAATGAACACCCGAGAAGCATAATATAATAATCGATAGAGGGTTCAAGCTGCACCTTCACATACATTACCTTACTTCTCCTCATCATATAACTATCCCTGGCACAGTCTACATTTTTACTTAGCTCATTATGATTTTTATTTTACCTTTATCTTCTTCTTCAGCACTTGCGCTTCACGGTCGAGGTGTTGTTGCAACAAGGTGTTAGATTAATTGTACGATTAAAACGTCGTAAATCAGCCAAGAGACGCCCACAACTCGCGTTCCAGACTCTCGTGCAAATCAACCGCTCTTTTATGTTGTATCTGTTCACTCTACTCATCCCTTATATTCTTCATTCCACAGCATCTGATTCAAAAGGGTTTACTTATCCGATGTCCATAAGCGTATATCTATAATGCAGCCCCTTCTATTCCCAACTATATGCCCGTATCATCATTTGCATCTTCTCATCTACCCTTTTTCTTTAGCTTTGATATCACTTCAAAAAATTTATCCCTCATGTTCCCACCTCAAAATTGGAATGCCGTAGGCCCCACAAGAGTTTCCCTCTCGATCATGCCGGCTTTTAGCAAAATTTATGGCCCGTCAAGCTCTTTTATCTCTTTCTCTTTTCTTTCATGCATTAGTACATAAGCCACACGCGCTCCATTGTACTCTACGCGAATGCAAACGCTTTCATCTATTTCTAGGAAAATCCCACTTAATTTTCAATCCCGTCCAATTCACGTGTACGACCATTGCGAGATATTAGATTTTCTATGATTCATTCTAACGTGTTTGGATAATACCTAAATACCGCATTAGATCAACAACTTTCACTCACAAATCCCAATCCGTTATCTTATACCAGAGATATAACGGCTTCAAATGTAACTAGCTTTATAATTAAATATGTTTTCTATGTTGAATATTTACATTTTTTTTTTTTATGGGAAATAGATTGATGTTACCTGGACTATATGAAAATTAATAGACGTTTGCAACAATTTTTTCAACTATTAGGTTTAAAAATATTGAGGAAACATTGGTAGAGGAAAATGAATAAAAAATGCAAACAATTGATATTTTCATTTTTCTTCATTAAAAAATATTTTTTTCCAAGCATCGCCTTTTATCAATGACAAAATATTTATATTACAATGTTCTTATGTTTACATTTATAATATATATGTTCAACAAGATAAGTTTGTATTAAATATTATTATAGATAATAGATAATACAATAATAAAGACAAAATTACATTTGATTTTGTTCATAATAATGCTTATATCCAATGATAGATTGATAATAAAGGTAAACATTTTTACAATAAAAAATTTACAGTCAATAATAATAATAATAATAACATAGTAAATATATCGTCATGACTTTGCTATACTAATAATGAAAAAATACAACTAATTTACTTTGGAAATGAATAATATTCATGTAGAAAAATAACAAAGGCAAGCTGGGAAAAAATAGTAAGCTTTTCATTAGCTCACGATAATCAGAACCTTGAGTATCGAGTAGAGTCAATAAATCGAAATAGACATCGACAAGTAACAATCTGCTGATTTTGACCTTGATATTGAGCAAGAAACTACGTTATTTACTCCTGTAAACGTTGTTACGTTTTTGCACTAAACATGTCTCCGGTTCAGCTAGTTACAATCATGGTAATGGACACATTACCACGAATTTGTAGTACTGAACGTATAAACTCATCCACTAAGTGCATTAAACAAGTACGCAGCTACGAAATACACTAATGGAGGTCTCAATAAGTTGGGAAAAAATCTTTTAATCACATATATAAAGGATAAGTCTCGTTAAAATCCAGCGTTGGTGGTAAGAGTGTGGATCGGAAGGTTGAATATATGCCGCTAATGCGACGGCTAACATTGCCTATCTAGTAAGTACATATCGTATCACGAGCAGTTTACGATCCCATTATGTAAACGTGTCGATTTAGTCGCACATCGTTTTAGTTAAGAGAATTTTAGTATCCCTCTTGTACATTAGACCTCCATGAAAGTGTATAACTGGTGATACTTGGAAATTTGATAGATATAAACCTCGCAAATTGAAATTCAAAACAAATAATCGTAAATGAAAAATTTAATTTTCACATAATTTGGCATACTCTTTCAGTTAATATAATTTTTTTTAAAAATGGTTTTTTTATTCAATTGGTAACATTGTTTTACGCATCATTTTTTTTTTTTAATCATAATTGATTTTTTTTTTCGTTTTATTTAATTTAAATATATCTCAAAAAATAAATAGTTAAACATTTTTTATAATTATCCTAATTCATTTCAATTACAAATTCAGGCACTCAAATTACAAATTTAAGAAAAGTCTTTTAGGGTTTTTTTGATTCTTTGTTATTTGTTATTATTGCTTAAAAATTCTTACATTTTTTTGAGCTTAAGCTCTTAATTCATTGGACAGTTTATCTGTAAGAATCATCGAATGAATTAAAGGATACGTTCTCTTGTATTATATTCTTATGGATACTATCAAAAAAATTGCACATTTATAAAACGTAATTCATATTATCTAAAACATTATAATTTTGAAGTGTAATATCAAGTGTTTGTTAATTATCAATCAAGGCAATTTTTAATCATTTCTACTTGCCAATCCTGTCACTTATTGAATCAGTTATTTATCTGACATTATAAATCAACATATAGTCACTTATTTATTTCAAGAGAATATTTTAAACTTATTAACAATCAACAAACAAAAACATTAATGTCTTGAATAAATTTTTATTTAACTTAATATCAGATAAATAACATTTAACAAACTATTTTTTTTATATTAAATATTTGCAATTTTAAATGCACATAATGTAAAAGGTTACTTATAAAAGAACTTAAAAAAAAACGATTAACGTAAAAGAATCAAAAAAGTCCTAAAAAAATTATCTTTAACAATAATTTTTACATTGAGCATTTTCGATTGTTATAAATAATCCTAATTAATTATTTATTTTGCTAAATGTGTATTTAAATTTTACAACGTCATTCATTACATTGACATTTTCATGAAAATGTTATTATTTTATATTCACCATCAATTATCAATCATTCATATTTTTCATTCGTGCGCGGAAAGAAGTATGAAGAGTTTCATTGATTTATTATAACATTAATTAGTAGGCAATAAATAGATTAATTACTTCACATGTGTGTTTATGTGAAAATCTAAGTTATTAATATTTTAAAAAACTGAAAATTTATACACTTTACAAGATTCAAGAATACGACTACGACCTTTGAAATTCACATAAATCTCATGTAAGCAGTGTACACGGAATTCGACATTTTCATTTCGCGTAACATGCATATGGAGCCTGTTTTTCGTTAGTACATCGTGAATCACGCGCTCAAAACAGGTCACGTATTCTCAATGCAAAATGATATATATATACATATACATACGTATATATATATATATATATATATATATATATATATGTATATATATATATTTTCTCACAGTGCACGAGATCTTTATCAAAGCGATTATTAAACACATAAATACATGTGGAAATATTCTTCAAAGTAAACAAAACCAATTGTATGTACAAAATTATCATTAAAAAATATGTAGATAGTTCAAAGCATTAGAGAAATTTTAATAAAAAATCTAATCTTTATCAGATCAAGGCATTAAAAATATAAGAAAAGTTTACATTAAATAAAAAAGAACTGAAAGTACATAATCTCTTGACGTTGATAAAACATAGCACATAAATAAATTAGCTTGATAGAAGATTATATATTAATTGAATTTTTAACTATTTGTCTTCACAAATTAAACACGTAAAATATTTTAAAAATTAAAAATAATGATAATTAATAACTATAATTGTATAATAACATAATAATTAAAATATTGGACGTACCAGAATCCCGAGCGAAATAATCGCAGTGTTAAAGCGACAAAATATCCTTAATAATTAATTAATAAATAGTTTAGTATGATTAATTAATTAACTGTTAATTAATTTTGCAAGTAAATAATTAAATAAATAACTCATTTGAGTTATGGTTCAATATTAAGGAGATTAGGTTTTTGTTAAATCGTTAATAAATCTTATAAATCGTTCATGGAACATACGCTTAATATATCATAGATATATGGATCCAAATCACCGGACCCTGCCAAATATTTATGCTCCTAAGGCGCCTTGTCGACGATCCAAAGTTTATCCTTTGGATTGTGACAAAGACGATCAAGCTGCAACGAATTGTTCCGCGCGCTTTAACCGCACTAGAGACCACTCAATCTATTTTGTCAAAGCATCATTTACTATTATTACTACTACTACTACTACTACTACTACTACTACTACTACTACTACTACTACTAGTACTACTATCTCGACGCTGTAGTCAACTCAGTCTCAGAGCAGTTGGCAAGGTCCAGTAAATATTTATAAAAAGTTTCTGCGAGTTTAATAAGAAGAAGGAAATAAAAAACTGCTTAAAATAAATTTCAAAATGTCATAAAATACAAAAAATTCTATAGGTGGATGAGAAGTTTTTTAAGCAGATCAACCTTCATAATTTAAATATTTGATCGCAGATAAATTGATAAATAGTAATAATAACCATTTGACAATATATAATCGCCGAAAATAGGCGTACAAGGAAAATACCCAACTGTAATTACATTTTTTCAAATAAATGCAACTACAGAGGATTTAAATGGTTAATAAAATTAGTAAAAACAATTTCATCAATCCAATCATTCTATAAAATATGTTAACGAATTATTTTTAGTATTATTAGTCATTTTATCTGTCTCAATTACTCATTAACATTACAATCACACATCATCTTTCTTGGATCTTTCCTTAACTGGAAAGAACCGGAAGCCCTTATTCAACTTGTCATTTTTCTTCGTATCATTATTCCAAAATGTGGAACAACAATCGAGCATTTCTCTTTTCAATGACATGAATGAAAGACACTCGAGAATCAATTTTCAAAGGCTATATGGATGGCAGAACTGGTAGACTAACCTCTGGCTTCGTTCTGTCTTCTTCATGATACCTTTCTTATAGTACTGACGAATACTGCGACTCAATTTGTCGTAGTTCATGGCCGGTCTATTTTTACGTTTGCCCCAAAGTCTTGCTACTCGCACTGAGTCCTCGATCTTAAAAACTCCTTTGGTGCGGTCTAGCCAACGTATACACGAGCCATGCAGTCCCGGGCTTTGGAGTAATTCTTTTAAAAACTGCCACAGATGAATATGAGAACCACCGTTGCGGATTTTTCCACCATCCGTGGACGTTTGAGTACTTCCTAAATCTTCATCTTCATCTGAAAAAAAAATTTTTTCATTATATTGACATCAGAGAGAATAATGATTAAAACAACTTTTAAAGAAAGCTTATTTATAATTTTAACTATTTAAATATCTGCTGTTATTTTTTTCAAATTAATAAAAAAAAAAGATAGTCGATAAAAATAATTAAAACCGGTTGTGTTTTTAAATAGTGCAATTTTAACAATCAACAGCTTATTTTGAAGTAGGTATTGATGAAATATAATATTAATTTCTTATTAATCATAAAAGTAGAAGCAATGAGAAAAAATCGCACCAAAAGGGATTATGAATTGCAAATTTGAAATTTCATTTTTTTTCTTCATTAAATATGCAAAATTTTTTATAATTTCTGCTCCAATTTATTTTTATTAATAAAAAAAAACAAATTTAAAAAAAAGTTTTTTCAATCTTATTATTATAATGAAACAAATGACTTATTAATTTCAGGATTGAAAAAAAAATTGTCTGGTATTAAAACGAGTACAATAACACAACAATAAATATTTATTATTTTTCACTAAATAAATCAGTCAATTATGGTAAAAAATTTACCACGTGTAATCGTGTGCATTCAGAAACTTTTGATGATAATTATTATTTTTTATTGAGTAAAAACTAAGGAATAATAATTTAATTAAAGATCTAATTTTTTTTGTAGTTAAAAAATCTAAATAATACCCAAGATACATGAACCGAGATTCATTAATAACTAATATGCTTCATTAATTCCGAATGAATTTTTTTTCTTCAAGTGCATTAAATTGTTCGTTTAATCTCCAATCAGATTGGTTAGAAGGGGTAATTACCATCGCTTAAATCTATGTTACATGACGGTGTTTCAACGCTATCAGGTACAGTGCTGGTCATGGATGAAGATGGACTGGGATCGCAGTTACTTGAAGGTTGAACAACATTGGTCGGACTCCAGGAAGCAGCTAAAGTATTTCTTGGCGATTCTTCTACAGCCGCTTTCCAAATCTCCAGCTGTGCATGTAGCATACTCCCGCACTGAAGAAAAAAAAATAAAAAAATATTTCAATTTATTCATGTACATATTGGCTTGTTGAAGATATTAAGTAGGCAAGTGTTTTTATTAGTTCTACGCAATTTTTACAGCCAGGTAAACCGATAGAATTTCGTTCGTTATCTTTCTTCCTTTCTTTCTCTTGCTCATCGAGTAAATATTAGCCTCACACCGCAAAGAGAAAGCAGCAACGCAACAAGCGATGGTTATGGTGACCTACTTGCCAGCACAGTCAACAGCAAGTAAGTACTCGAGACTTGGTCAGCCAATTGAACGTCACGTGCTGTCGGCAATGATGACGCACCTCTAGTACACATAAACATGGTCCAAGTATTGTAGAGAAAAAATTGATTTACAAATGCACTTATGATGCAATTATGCGAAAAATTTTATGTATAATGATGCCATCACATTCGATGCAATTTCAAACAGCTTAAGACACACCATCACAAATAGTGCATTTTGTCTTACGAAACACCATTAGCCATGGTGGAAAATATTCCTCTATAGGTTCGATCGTGATCTCGCAACTAGATCAACCGATCGCGCAACTTCAGCTTCGACGAACCGATCTCCGTGTTATACTAGAGAATTGAAATTAGCCAGTCATGTGTTGTACATCGAAATACTTGCGAAAGTGCATGATGAATGATTTGCAGATGAAGATTAAAGATATATGATACATCCTTATTTTGGATTATTCCCACAGATTTAGATTCACTGGCTATAAAATTAAACATCCAGTGTTTTTATTGCACTGTTGACATTGGCTACAACTTAATCAAAATGTTTTCTTGCTAAATCTAAATTAAATTTGGCTCTATTAAAATAGTTGTGTGTCTCAAATTTAGCTAAAATTCTATAATAATTTACCAAGGCTATATCGACAATTAATTTTCATTAAGCCCCGCTAAACATTTATTACTTACAAGTGATTGTAAATACCAGTCTGCCAATCGTCTTACGTAAATTCCTAGCAAATTCCAACGCCCCCATATGTTACTTCTCCCCACTTACTTGTACAAACATCTTAAAATTACAGGCCACGTATAGAATGATAACGACGTAAACGTTTTACGGGGAAATATACTAACGACGCACGTGGATTTCCGAGAAATTCACTTTCACCAGACTTTCCTTCCCAACCGAATCGCGCAATCAGTCGACATGGTTACTCTGGCCCTGTCCGAGACCGCGACGGCCAACCAGATCCGTTAGGTTCCGCAATCTCGTGGCGCCAACTCGATGAAACAAGAAAAAAAACTATATTATGACGCGATTAAAACGTCAATCGTGAAACTATGGAAATTTCTTTTACAATCCTTTAAATTACAATAATTTAATAATGATTAGAAAAATGATGATGCCTTACTTGAGGAGCACGATGACAAAAGTCTTCTTCTGTTAAAGATGCCAATGTTTCACCATCAATGTTAAAACTTTCCAGAGGAACTGAGGGTAATTGAAGTTGTCTCCTAGCCCACTGAACCCAAGCCGCAACATCTGAGGCACTCCAACGTCTTGGTTCTAGCACAAGAATAGTGTGAAAAATTATTTACAGTCAATTCATACATAATACGTAAACTTAAGTCTAACGTATGAATTAACGGACATCTAGAGAATCTTGTTCGCATTCTAGGTTAATACCTGATATTAAATAGTATGTAAATACAGAGCATTAAAACTCTTCAAATTAGATTAGAACTCTTGATACTCTCTAGAGACCGGAAACATTGACTGGATGCTGAATACCAGGGCCACTTAACGACCTTGGAACACACAAACGTTTGAGGTTTCGTAACTGCGTGGCATGACATGCCTTCGATGCTTCTATAACTTATTTCTTAGCGTGACATCATGCGACTTGTAGACCCATAGTGAGAAACCGGTCGGCAACGACAACTAGCCTCCGGCGAGGCAGCTTATGTGTCGATGAAAAAGGATAGAGGTAAAGAGAAATAAGAGTAAGAGATAGCAACATGGTGACAGGAACCCAGTGAGACAATTATAGGATTGAAAACAACTTTATAAAAATTTCCGATGCTTATTCAATACTAATTAGCTTCAAACAAGTAGATTAGACTATTCACACAGCTGGAGATCATCTTGATCATCATTATCATCACAATTAATTAAGTCTCCATTAGGATTCTAGACGAAGAAAAAATGATAATTTTTTTTATTTATTACTATCATCATTCATTAACCTTCTCTTGTTCATCGATCAGATCATCAATGAGGTCAATTTTTATTCTAGATTTTTTACTGATGACTAAGTTTAATAAAAACTCACCTGGATGGATGCCAAGCGCAACACAGGTATTATCAAAGTCCTTCTGAAGTTGTTGAATGGCAAGACTAAGGACAGGTTCTATCTGTTCTCTAGCAAGATCTCCGACACATTCTCCACTTTCCATATCTTCCACAAAACCAGTGCCAACACCCCCAAGATCGACAGGTCTCAAATTATATTTTCTTTGAAAACTTGTATCTCGTAAAACCTCACGTAATAATTGATGATCACTTTTCGAGCTTTCCTTGTTAAATATTTCAGATTTGCAATCAAGTGAATTATTATTTGATATTTTCCGGTTAGTTGAATAAGACTCGTCGTCTTGGATCTCTATTTTAGGTATTAATAAAGGACTTTTATTTAAATTTCCTTCATCCTTAATGTTTGTATCCTTGGTGTTGAATAAAAGAGTTCGAAGGGGAGAATTGTCCGTGTCTGGAGCTGGAGAAGCTTGAGGGGAACTAATTGATTGTGGCTCTTCTTTGAAAAGAATTTCCTTTAACAAAGGACTTGTTTCCTCACGTTTTGGAAAGAAATCTGTATCCAGAGAATTGTAAATGTCTTCCTCAGACCTTGGAGGTGTACAAGGCACCGTGCAGTCAGTGGAATCTTCTTTGTAACCCAGACTTTCAGCTAAAAGTCTGTAACAAAATAACCCAACATAAATGAAAATTTTTTTGTTGTTTTACAAAACAAAAAAAAATTAAAAAAAACCAAATTCATTAAGTATCTACTATGACCTTACCTGGATTCTTGAAGAATAGCAAGCAAATCTAGACTTTTTTCTCTCTTTACTGGTTGTTTAGCTGCAGGCTCTGGACTCGTAGGATACAAATGAGCACTTTGAGGACTATGAGGAACGTAATAAGGACTACTGGGATATCCAGGAGATGCTTCACGTAAATAATTTGGTGACAATTCTCCTGTCAAACCAGGATACGGTGGACTAGGGTAGGTTGTTGGTGACCCAGGTCTTGGTGAAATCACTTCTTGCTTTATCTGGGTTGGTTTGAGGGTTGTTTGCGAATTCGACGAATTGTAGTCATTTGGTAATAATGACAAGTCAAATTGAAAAGTCGTGTAATCAAAAGAAGGCGAGAAGCCTGCGGCAGTAGGCACCGTTTGTGGCATCTAAAAATAAAAACAAAAAATGGTTTTAATAAACTTCAAATGATTTGAAACTGAGGAATATTATGACTTTTTGATTATTTTTCATCTACTGGTTCTCACGTATTCCAAGGCATTGTTTGTAGCTTATATGAGTAAAAGACGTGAGACGGTAAAACGCGTTAACAATATCTGTCATCATTAAAATCAACCCTCTGCACTCTGGCAGCATCCCTCAGGCAAACACTGACGGCATACGGTTCACAGAACAGCCAAAACACTTTCACCAGGTTGAAGATGAAATAGAGTGTATATAGAGGTAGAAGTGAGATAGATGAATCTCCGGGCCGTTTATCTTCGCGCGTGTGTTTATTGCCCGTCGTGTGCTTGACCTCGCATCAGTTTGTTACGCTTTGTAAGCCCATTATAGCGTTCCCAAGTGCATCTTGGATACGCTGAGGCGGGGTTGTAGTCTGACATCTTGACGTAGTGCATCGCAAAGGTCGGCGCGAAATAAACGATTATGCTCTTTTTCTCTCGCTACGGACTTTTAGAACCCAACGAGATCTCCAAGCAAAGTCATTCGATATTGAATGAATAGAGAGATATGACATGAGGCTTCTCTTAACAACAAAATCATTTAAGTTATTGGTGTGTACATATGTAAATTTGTATGTACTTGTGTATAGTTGTTGTATAATAAATAAGAGAAAATATGTCGGAGATTTAAAAATTGTATTTCAATTTAAACATGTCAATTTTAATTGAGAGGTGAACCGTCTGCGGTTAAGTCAAGCGGTGAAAAAGATTATAAAAGAGAGAGAGAGAGAGAGAGAATAAGAGCGATTCATCGACCAGGTGGTGTGTAGTGTGTTTGCTTGAGTCCAAACATCTAGAAATATATACGACTTTGTTGAGAATATATCACTCAAACGTTTATATCCCATACGATGTTTGTTTTTACAAAACATTTGTGTACCCTGGGAATTTACGCTAGCGCACATGATACCCCGTGAGATTTTCTCTTAGAACTTCCAGCATTCATTTGATGTAAATTCAGATCATTCAATCCCTCACATATTTTATTGCTGACGTACAGAAAAGATGATGGTGGCAATTTTGCCATCGATAAATTCAATTTTGTATGTGCCTCCATTATAATACTACCTCGTACATTTCGCAACTTAACGATCCAGCAGACAAGGAATCCGCAACAATCGGGGCAAGAAAATGGATAAGAAGCTAACGGCCATAGAGATAGGACTGTCAGAGCTATATAATAGGCTTGTATGTAGAAATATATATACTGCCGGGTAAAGTACAGATACTTGCTTTACTATTCTTAAGGGCCTATGAAAGATATCTTATTGTAAAAAATGTTAATGTATGCTGACAATGGGTTTATCTGTATTGGACATGATTGATATTTTTTTCTTAATACCAAAATAATATCATTATTTAGATGATTTTTATTTTTTTCAACTAAAACTATTGTATTGTATTATTATTATTACTTTCACTTTAATTTTTCAAACATTTTTTAATCTTAAATATCAGTTTTGTACATGATAATAATTCACAAGAATTAATTGAGAAAAAGTTAATGATAAAAATTTCATTTAAAAAATAAAAAAAATAGTTAAGTCTTACATTATTTAACAGTTTAATAGTTGATACTTTCCAATTAAGGTAACTAGAAATTTCTCTGAGAGTAGATTCTTATTATTGATTATAATTCAATTCAGCAGATGTCAACAAACCTAAAAGTTTTAATTCTTACAGAAATTTTTACAGAACAAATGTAATTCTATTGTATTATAAAAAGATTATTTCATAGTATACGAAAAAAATTATTAAATGACTTAAGTAAAAATTTGCATAACATTTGTTATTATTGTTGAACATACATAACACTCACATTACACTAGTCTAAAAGTTCAATTCACTGCCAATTTAAAGCTCTATCAAAGTCTCTTAAAGCTCTATCACCAGACAATGCATCGAAACTCAATGCCCAAATTTATCAAACCTTATTCTCCACCGGTCTACCATACATACCCTGACCAACTTGATTCAATATACATAATGTCTTTTATATCATAAAAGTTCGAGGATTGCAAAATTAGTGGATACAAATGTTTCATGTCGGTTCGTCGACCTCCAGAGAACGATGAGGTTCAAGGACCATGAGTTTGCTGATTTATTGACACTGGGGGCTTGTTACAACGCGCGTGTAAGCCTCCTAATTGTCTGTGACGTCATATTATCCCAGTCAGACTGAACGATATTCACTTCTACCCTGTCTGCATGACAATTTAGTAAACTTAACCGATTGAACATGTTTCACAGTGTTGATACTGTCCTGCCTATGTATTGCTATTTTTCTATTTTTACGACGTAATTAAGAGAATAAATGATGATTATTTTCCGCATTTTTGGTATCTGCCCCTAGCTCTTCTCCACCTCTTGTCTCATCCCAGCATCAACAATAAATACGTGAGGTGAACTTCAAAAGATGACTAAACCTATCGGACGTTGTGGAATGTTAAACTGTTCTTGATGTGCACTGTCGTCTTCAAGGTCTTTACAAGATTTCGCGAGTGTTGGTGTTATTGTTTCTTATTCTTTTTTTCTCTCTTGAGTCACAAAAAAAAAATGAAGAAAAGAAGAGGTTAAAGTTCTTATCATGGATGAGCTTCCATTAACATCGTTGTTGTTCTTTCATTTAAGAAAGCCCGTGAGAAAATGAATTCTTAGCAAGAAGGAAAAAAAACCTTCTTTATCTTTTTAATCGATATATAATTGTAATTGTATAATGATAATATTTTTATACTTATTTAAGAATAATTCCAAACCAATACTAACTGCGAAATATGTCCATTTCTTCTTTTTTATCATCCACTTATCTTGTTAATTTTTTTTATAGCATTAATATTGCATTCATTACTCGATTCCTCATCAACTTGTTCAAACAAATCAAGTCGTTTCTATGATAATAATGATAATGATGAAAGCTCAAAAACGCAATAGAAAAAATTAGCACTTCTTTACTAACGCACGTGAAGTTCTTACAACCGCGGAACATAATCACTCGCATATTATCCGATCCGTTACATTGATCAACAGCGTAAACGACTATAGCGATTACTATCACTAACGATTTACATGGCCAACGGATTGTCGTGTACCATTAGCCCTATGTATCGATCGTATAATATTCAAAGTAAAAAATACATCGCTTTATTTATAAGTAATTAAAAAGTTAAATAAAAATATCTTTTAATATCCCTGATAATAAATTGATGATGAAACATCTTAAATATGTAGAGCCGCCATGACAGTTATGTAGCGTTTAATATCGTGTTAGCATCCAAGAAATCCTACATTTTCCCTCTCTATTCAATGAACAAATGATTCAGAATAAGGACTTGAGTTTTTTTACTTGCTCGAGGTCAATCTTCACGTTGTATATAGAATTCAACGAATCTAGTCTTTCTCTTATTCTTCAACGACTTTATCTCTGTCTCCTATATTTTATTCTTTCTTCTCGCACCTTCACTGTTAGATCGAGTTTTATTCTGACAGATAAAGCCTCAGGACTACTTGATGACAGGATCTCGTTTGTCAGTACAAAAGACAGGGTTTTAAAGACTGATTTAATCGTTATTTTTTTATGCTGTATCATCTTTTGCATTAATTAATTTTGCCAGGAATATTCTCATTAAGTACTTGGTGTTTTTTCTGAAAATCTTTTAATGGTGAATCGAGGTAAGGATTTTTCTATGAGTTAGTAATAGAGTTTATTTATGGAGAATAAATAATGTAATTGAATATGATGAAATTAATTTAGTATTAATGATTGATGAAGGAATGATTGAAATGTGAGTCTAATGGAATTAAATGATTTTTTTTAATGACGATATGATAGCTACTAATGAAGCTTACAGATTAAATTTAATAATGTAAAAATACAATCTGAACTGATTGATAGAACTTTATTGAGAAAATGAAGCTTTTTTGTTATTAGAAAATTTGTTGAAATATAGCTTCGAATTATTTGAAATTTATTATCATTAAATGGATTAAATCTTTGATGAATATTTTAAAGGAATTGGCAAATTCAATCGAGATATTTTTGAAATGTTTAATTGATGAACATTTTCATTCAAAACAGAAATATAAATAAAAGCAGAAAACTAAATAAATATGAATATAAGAATGACAAAATATTTAAAGAATATTAAAATTGTATCTTCTGTTATAATCCTAATGAAGCTAAACATTGTTATTGGCTACTATAAAGATCAATATTCACCTTCTATTTATAATATATTTTTATTCAATTTTTATTCTCAGTTTATACTCTTTCAACATTTATCTACCCAACAATCCATGAAATCATCATAATTATAATAAATTCCATTCTTAGCACAAAATAAATGATAACTCTTCAAATTTAGTTGCTTGTATATGTTCATAAAATGTCACGAGTTTCATCATCCAATTCAGCAGGTTAAAAAAAATCTGTATACACATAAGCACACAACAATATATCACTTCTATTTTAAAATCTCTTGACTGGTATACTTATTGTAGATAATAGCTGAACGTTGCAATGACAATCGTATAAGACGAACTTTAGTACGACAGTTTAAGATTTGCCATAATGTGTGGGCGATCGACGATTCTGCGACACTTTGTTTTGTACCATTGCTGCTCATTTCGCGCTCTTATTCTCTTTTTATATTTCAATAACAACGGAAGGTGTCCATACTAGGCAATGCTCCTGCAATCATTTTACGTCGATATTTGTGCGCCTTGTAAACATCTATAGACCCTTTTACACTTGAAAGACCAAAAAAGAAATATCAAATGCGAAGCGAGAACATCGAAATACCACGATTATTTGTCCATCGTTTCTCATGCCATTATATTGTGCAACCAGCATTACAATTTAGTTCATTTTATTATGATACTCCTAAAGTGCGGGCTGCACATGTTACAGATATCATTTTTATGGAACT